ATAGTGTCTGTAGGACACAGTGTGAGACAAAGTGTCTGTAGGACACAGTGTGAGACAAAGTGTCTGTAGGACACATAGAGACAGACCTGCTGCTGGATGTGGAGCAGGTTCTTCAGGCGGTTCCTCCAGAAGTTAAACTCCTCGCAGGGAAGTGGCTTCAGGCCGTCCAGAACCGCCTGAGACGAGTCCTGCTGCAGGAACTCTGACACAAGCTCCGCCCACTCAATGATCGTCCAATCACAGGCGTGGAGAAGCTTTAGGTCGGACAGCTTCCTGTTAGAGGAGAGAAGGAGGAGCTTCACTTTGACAGCTTCCTGTTAGAGGAGAGGAGGAGGATCTTCTCTCTGACAGCTTCCTGTTGGTGTGATGAACGCTGTCAGAGATGGATGTCTCACCTCTCGTCCACGTCGTCGTGAAGACCTCCATCGTGGTCCACATCCCCATGGAGACGGTTGTCATGGAGAGCATGGGGCTGAGGCAGGAAGGTGCGCCCGTGGATCTGAGCCTCCATCACGAGCGCCTCGTTCTTCTGGCGCTCCATGAACCTCAGTGCCTCCTCGGCCACGCCGGCCGCCCAGCTGCCGCTCGGGTCCGGGTTACTGAGCAGCGGACAGGTGACCTTCAGGAAGGACACACCTGGTTACACTCAGACCTCATTCCTAACTTAAAACAAACTACCACCTTAACATGATCAGTAACTCCTAGCAGCACCACTCAAAGATCAAACTGGGATTGCTGTGATCAAAAAAGTGTTTTACTTTGATCGTGATCACCGCTGACCTTTCAAAGCACAACCAATCGGAGAGCAGCAGTAGGAAGGAAGGAACCAATCGGAGAGCAGCAGTAGGAAGGAAGGATCTTAAATGAACTGACATCTTAAAGTCAGCCTTACCTTGAATGAACCTTAATACCTTAATAACCTAATGTTAGCCACAATATTTGCATTATTCTAAGATAACATTAGTCTTAATGTTGGCCTTAGCTTAAATTAGCTTTAGTTTAATGTTAGCCTTATCTCAAATTAGCTTCTCTCTTGAATGTTAGCCCTATCTTTATCTCTTGAATGTTACAGTGTTTCCCATACATTGATTTAATTGTGGCGGGCCGCCACAATTAAATATCGTCCGCCACAAATGGATCTCATAAAAAATGTTTAAATTATTATTATTCTTTTCTTTTTGTATGGTGGTCTAATGGATAGTGAGGTGGGCTGATGATCAGAAGGTTGCGAGTTCAAATCCTGCCTGGAACACCACTACTAGTGTGCCCTTGAGTAAGGCACTTAGCCCTGGGTTACTCCAGGGAGAATGTCCCTGTTGGTCATTGTAAGTCGCTTTGGAATAAAGCGTCTGCTAAATGCCTACATTGTAAATTATATTTCTGGGAGAATAAACCCCACAGATCCTCAACTCAGGTGTGTCTCACTCATTAACAACGCAACACAGAGCAACAAGAATGTTGTCTACAGTAGCGATGAACTCGCATGTATTATCTTATTTGAGGGGGGGGTGGATGCGTGGACCACCCGAATAGGTTAAGGGGCCTTTGGCTTTTCTTGCCGGGGGGGGGTGCCCCCACAAATAGAATCAAATTCTGTGGGAAACACTGTGTTAGCCCTAATGTTAGCTTCTCTCTTGAATGTTAGCCCTAATGTTAGCTTATCTCTTTAATGTTAGCCCAATCTTTATCTCCTTAATGTTAGCCTAGTGTTAGCTTCTCTCTGTAATGTTAGCCTCATGTTAGCGGTACCTCCTGGCAGACGGCGCTGATGCAGCTCACGGCGCCCCCCCCCTCCACCTCCTGCATGATCAACATGTCTCTGATGTTCTCTGCGCTGATGACTGCCCTGCTGCTCCTGGAGAGAACCAGGACTTTAGAGGAGGTCTGAGAGGGGAAGGTGAGGCTGATGCAGAGCCCCGGGTCCCGGCACAGGAACAGATTGCTGTAGTCTGCGATGCTGAAGAAGCTGCTGAGGGTCACCTGGTTCTCCTCCTCAGACAGGAAGTCCCTCCAGACCTCCATCTGCAGCCCCAAGCTGCTCAGCGTGAGGCGGAGGATCACCTCTATACGCTCGTCCCTGCTGCCCTCCATCTGAAGGCTCACTGCTTCCTTCTGGAGACACTCTATAGACCGAGGAGGAACCGTGAGAAACCGTGAGAAACCGATAGAAACCGTGAGAAACCATTAGAAACCGTGAGAAACCGTTAGAAACCGTGAGAAACCGATAGAAACCATTAGAAACCGTTAGAAACCGTGAGAAACCGTTAGAAACCGTGAGAAACCGTGAGAAACCGTGAGAAACCGTTAGAAACCGTGAGAAACCATGAGTAGAAACTGTGAGAAACCATGAGTAGAAACTGTGAGAAACCATTAGAAACCGTGAGAAACCGTTAGAAACTGTGAGAAACCATGAGTAGAAACCGTGAGAAACTGTTAGAAACCGTGAGAAACCGCGAGAAACCGTGAGAAACCGCGAGAAACCGTTAGAAACCGTGAGAAACTGTTAGAAACTGTGAGAAACCATTAGAAACTGTTAGAAACCGTTAGAAAACGTGAGAAAACGTTAGAAACTGTGAGAAACCGTTAGAAACCGTTAGAAACTGTGAGAAACTGTTAAAAACCGTGAAAAACCGCCAGAAACCCTGAGAACCGTTAGAACTTTATAATAACCGCTAGAACTTTATAATAACGTTAGAACTTTATAATAACCATTAGAACTTTATAATAACCGTTAGAACCTTATAATAACCGTTAGAACCTTATAATAACGTTAGAACTTTATAATAACCGTTAGAACTTTATAATAACCGTTAGAACCTTATAATAACCGTTAGAACTTTATAATAACCGTTAGAACCTTATAATAACCGTTAGAACCTTATAATAACCGTTAGAACCTTATAATAACGTTAGAACTTTATAACAACCATAATAACTTTATAATAACCGTTAGAACTTTATAATAACCGTTAGAACCTTATAATAACGTTAGAACTTTATAATAACCGTTAGAACTTTATAATAACCGTTAGAACCTTATAATAACGTTAGAACTTTATAATAACGTTAGAACTTTATAATAACCATTAGAACTTTATAATAACCGTTAGAACCTTATAATAACCGTTAGAACCTTATAATAACGTTAGAACTTTATAATAACCGTTAGAACTTTATAATAACCGTTAGAACCTTATAATAACCGTTAGAACTTTATAATAACCGTTAGAACCTTAATAATACCGTTAGAACCTTATAATAACCGTTAGAACCTTATAATAACGTTAGAACTTTATAACAACCATAATAACTTTATAATAACCGTTAGAACTTTATAATAACCGTTAGAACCTTATAATAACGTTAGAACTTTATAATAACCGTTAGAACCTTATAATAACCGTTAGAACTTTATAATAACCGTTAGAATCTTATAATAACCGTTAGAACTTTATAATAACCGTTAGAACCTTATAATAATGGGTTACTTATTTAAGGTATAAATAACCCATTATTACGGTTACGGTCTGGTAACCGTTAGAACCTTATAATAACTGCAGTAATTGCAGCATCTCTTGTAGTCATTATCATTTGTTCTGTTCCCAGGTTAAATATAAAAAGTGTCTAAAATGTTTTTAATGTAGAAAAATATATAGCCTATTCAACTACACTGTATATTATATATTCAACTATATCCATAAAATAAACATTATTCATCATCAAATACACATGTATGCTGCTTTAACTACACAGATGTTTTCATTTATCATTAGTTTGTCCATAAATATAAAGACTTTTAAGACATAAAATGATCTACCTGAGAGAAATTTAGATTAAATGATCAGAAAACAGTATTTCCTCTTCCAGCTGTAGATATTTCACTCCTCTTCTCTGGAAAACCATTCACAAAACCGGAGAAAACTGTTAAAAGCGTAATTAAATCCGTTAAAAATTCATTAAATCCGTTGGTTTATTTAAATCCTAACGGTCATGGTGCCTTCAGTGTCTTTTATCCGCGTCGTAAACTACCAACTTCATCTGGTTATATCAGTTATTCCATACATGTTTCTTTTACAGTTTTCATTTTTTACATTACATTAATATAGTTTTCTAATCTAGTGTCGTTATTATATCTAATTTTGGTTGTACGTGTTCTTGTTTGACTTCAAAATGCTTTTAATCTCTACAGTCAAATACAATAAACGTTATTCATCATCCAAGACCCCTTTATGCTGCTTTTAAAACACTGATGTTTTATTTTATTATTGTGTTCCAACTAAATAAAGTGCAGTCAAGAAAATAAATGATCTACATGAAAAAGATTTGGAGAAAATTCAATTAAACCGACTAAGAAAGCAATAAATCCTACTCCAGCTGCAGCCCGTGAAGACATCATAAAGTGATTTTCTCATGGTTTAAACACGACACTGTTTTTACCTGTTGAATATTAATTAATGTTACAGTTAACTAAAGCAGACATATAACTAGTAACTCATTTGACAAACAGATGTGGATTTAATATTTGTACTTATTTATTTTTTATTTTGCGTATTTTTCAAAGTCTTATATTTCAACAGTTTTACGACAAACTGTGACTTTTTTGACATGGAAATTATTATATAAGATTCATAAACATCATATGGGTAATTCGTGGCACAATTCAAACGGGATCAAAAGATAATCTTTCTCTCTCCATTGACTTCAATCCATAATTTTTCAGAAATAAGGTCCCATGGGTCGGAAGCATAGACTGTATATATGGTCGGAAGTAGATGGGCGTGACTTCGCCACACCGCTGATCTCTAAAATACATCAATTCTCGCGAGAACATGACGCCCGTATAAAATAACGAAGCTGCTCTATTTTATACTCATATTTCTGGAGTAAATATACCGTTTTTGACGAACAGAAATATTGTTTTCTGGCATCACTTTAACATTTTACGGGGGAAATCTAGATTTTGATATGAGGGCGCAGGCCGAGAGTTACCAGGTGCTGACTAACCCTGTCAATTATATATAAGCATGTGTTATACGAAGAAGTTCACTTCCTCTCTTGATTTAAATGAAACTATGATCGAGGCCATGAAGGATCTCCAATAACATGACCTTTGTTGCTAGGCAGAAAGAAACTAGTTTAAATGTTTTCACTTTATTTGTTAACAAATAAACAAGAACTATCTCCCGCTAAGTATTTAAACCGTCCTCCCGTCCTGAAGGGGGCGGTCATCCATCTGATCTCCACCAATAAGGAAACAGAAGAACCGGAAGAAGAAGGAGAACGCGCTGTGATTGGTTGTCGGGTCACATAAAGTCACATGGCTGCTGCTCTTTGCTCAGACTGCGGTGAGAATCTGATTTTTTTTTTTCAGAGATATCTCCATTAAATGTGCTTTTAAATCCTCCGGAGGATGGATGTTCAGGAGCACCCGCTGCAGCCGCTGCTCGATGGTCACGGTGAGAACAGTTCTTATTGAAGGATAGCATGTTGTATCAGAGAAGTTACAGAGAGAAGATGCGCTGCTACAGCAAAGAGACACCAGTTAACACATGTTGGATAAAGGCACTCTCTTTATATATTACACATTAAATAGCGAGTTAGTATAGTTTAGAAGTTACCGCTGTAACACGGTTTCCAAAGTACCTATTGCCCCACGCGATGCTGTGCCGAGCTTTCTGTATTATCCACATCTCATGGAACTCATTGTTCTATCTTTTATCTTCTAATTATAGTGTTTTCGGGTAAAAAACACACAAAGCAAACATGTGGCGGGAACATTTTAAAAGATGGCGGCCCCTGTGTTTCCCAGACTTTAATCATAAATACGTGTTGTTTTTACAGATGCGTAGAGTCCTTTAAGTTCACTTTAGAGTTACCTGTACTTTGAGTATTTCAATGTTATGACACTTTACTCTATATATAATATCTGCTCTTTGTTGTTCTGAGGGCTTTATAGTTTATCACTGATTGTCTCTGTGGATCAAATCCTGATCAATAATATGTACTTCAACTCGGAGGTAAAGGGCGTACTCTTACTGAAGAACCAGATCAGAGTACTTCTACTCAAAGATCAGAGTTCTTTTCCTCCTGATTGAGCATGTCTGAACTTCAGAGCAGTGGCCTTTACTGCAGTAAAGGATCTAATATTACATGGGGCAAGTACTTCAGTAATATGAGTAAAGCCACCCTTTTGAAGTACTCTGGTACAGGATAGTGAAGGTAGTGCTGCTGTAGAAGTACCCTACTTTAGAAAGTGCTACGAAGCCTCTGTGGGGACGCTGCTCTGCCTCAGGAGCTGAAGCTCAGTGTAACTAGCGGGGTTCAAGTTGTTCAATCTGTCTGTTGTGTGTTTCAGGTGCCCCTGGTGCAGCATGGTTTCCTCAGAGGGGGGCGTGAAGTCGAAAGGAAGCTTCCCTGTCTTCCTCTCCAGCTCCAACTCTCTGACAGAGATTTTACCCTGAGGTTCGGGATGCCTCCGTTCTTCTGTGAGAGCATGGACTGCAGCCTCTCCAGCTGAGGTCATGTTGAAGGTGAGCTCCAACAGGAAGTGGTCCTGATTCTCAGAATGAAAGTGTTTGTGTCGAAGTGATGAAACGAAAGGCCGATTGAAGCCCCCCCCAGCAGTCTGTTCTCAGAGGGGGGGCCGTGACAAAACCCACCTGAAGCGTATTCTGACCAGCTGTCACTCACTCTCAGTACTGAAGGTTATTACATCTATCATTAAAGTGATAACCTTTATTAACAACCTGTCTCTCTGACAGACGACCTCTGACCTGCAGCTGAGGACCTCCACCTGAAGGTGAGTGATGTCACAGGGGGCGGGGCTTAGTTGTTGGTGTTTTTCTTCAGGGTTATCTCTCTGCAGCGCCTCGTGCTGCGTTCAGGAGAAACGGTAATCTTCAGTGTCGGGGAGATGATGTGAACAAAAGGCCGAATTGTAGCCCCCCCCACAGGGTGTTCTCAGAGGGGGGGCCGTGACAAAACCTGACCGAAGCGTTCTTCTGATCCCAGCTGATGCTAACCTGATGCTAATGTTAATGTGATGCTGATGCTAGTGATGCTAGCCTCTCCTTTAAAGAGTCCTCTCTACTTGCAGCTGTCTCTCAAACAGCTGGAGCTCATCTCCTGCCAACAGCAGTTTAACATGTTGGAGAAAGGCTCTCTATATTTTAAATAATGAGTTGGTATAGTTTAGAAGTTGCCGCTGTAACACAGTTTCCAAAGTACCTGTCGCCCCACGCGATGGAGCGCCGCTCTCAACAACACTGCTCTCCATTAGCGCCCTGTGCTGAGCTTTGTTATATCCACATCTCATGGAACTCATTGTTCTATAGTTTATATCATTATATTGTTCATAATGTTATTTAAGAAGTAAAGGATCTAATATTACATGGGGCAAGTACTTCAGTAATATGAGTAAAGCCACCCTGTTGAAGTACTCTGGTACAGGATAGTGAAGGTATTGCTGCTGTAGAAGTACCCTACTTTAGAAAGTGCTACGAAGCCTCTGTGGGGACGCTGCTCTGCCTCAGGAGCTGAAGGTCAGTGTAACTAGCGGGGTTCAAGTTGTTCAAATCTGTCTGTTGTGTGTTTCATCAGGTGCCCCTGGTGCAGCATGGTTTCCTCAGAGGGGGGGCGTGAAGTCGAAAGGAAGCTTCCCTGTCTTCCTCTCCAGCTCCAACTCTCTGACAGAGATTTTACCCTGAGGTTCGGGATGCCTCCGTTCTTCTGTGAGAGCATGGACTGCAGCCTCTCCAGCTGAGGTCATGTTGAAGGTGAGCTCCAACAGGAAGTGGTCCTGATTCTCAGAATGAAAGTGTTTGTGTGGAAGTGATGAAACGAAAGGCCGATTGAAGCCCCCCCAGCAGGGTGTTCTCAGAGGGGGGGCCGTGACAAAACCCACCTGAAGCGTATTCTGACCAGCTGTCACTCACTCTCAGTACTGAAGGTTATTACATCTATCATTAAAGTGATAACCTTTATTAACAACCTGTCTCTCTGACAGACGACCTCTGACCTGCAGCCGAGGACCTCCACCTGAAGGTGAGTGATGTCACAGGGGGCGGGGCTTAGTTGTTGGTGTTTTTCTTCAGGGTTATCTCTCTGCAGCGCCTCGTGCTGCGTTCAGGAGAAACGGTAATCTTCAGTGTCGGGGAGATGATGTGAACAAAAGGCCGAATTGTAGCCCCCCCACAGGGTGTTCTCAGAGGGGGGGGCCGTGACAAAACCTGACCGAAGCGTTCTTCTGATCCCAGCTGATGCTAGTGATGCTAACATGATGCTAATGTTAATGTGATGCTGATGCTAGTGATGCTAGCCTCTCCTTTAAAGAGTCCTCTCTACTTGCAGCTGTCTCTCAAACAGCTGGAGCTCATCTCCTGCCAACAGCAGTTTAACATGTTGGAGAAAGGCTCTCTATATTTTAAATAATGAGTTGGTATAGTTTAGAAGTTGCCGCTGTAACACAGTTTCCAAAGTACCTGTCGCCCCACGCGATGGAGCGCCGCTCTCAACAACACTGCTCTCCATTAGCGCCCTGTGCTGAGCTTTGTTATATCCACATCTCATGGAACTCATTGTTCTATAGTTTATATCATTATATTGTTCATAATGTTATTTAAGAAGTAAAGGATCTAATATTACATGGGGCAAGTACTTCAGTAATATGAGTAAAGCCACCCTGTTGAAGTACTCTGGTACAGGATAGTGAAGGTATTGCTGCTGTAGAAGTACCCTACTTTAGAAAGTGCTACGAAGCCTCTGTGGGGACGCTGCTCTGCCTCAGGAGCTGAAGCTCAGTGTAACTAGCGGGGTTCAAGTTGTTCAATCTGTCTGTTGTGTGTTTCAGGTGCCCCTGGTGCAGCATGGTTTCCTCAGAGGGGGGCGTGAAGTCGAAAGGAAGCTTCCCTGTCTTCCTCTTCGGGATCTGATTCTTCCTCTCCAGCTCCAACTCTCTGACAGAGATTTTACCCTGAGGTTCGGGGTGCCTCCGTTCTTCTGTGAGAGCATGGACTGCAGCCTCTCCAGCTGAGGTCATGTTGAAGGTGAGCTCCAACAGGAAGTGGTCCTGATTCTCAGAATGAAAGTGTTTGTGTGGAAGTGATGAAACGAAAGGCCGATTGAAGCCCCCCCCAGCAGTCTGTTCTCAGAGGGGGGGCCGTGACAAAACCCACCTGAAGCGTATTCTGACCAGCTGTCACTCACTCTCAGTACTGAAGGTTATTACATCTATCATTAAAGTGATAACCTTTATTAACAACTAACAATGCACGATATTAGGAATTATGACGTCATCCCGATAAAAGTATTAATAGCCCCGATAATATACAATATCTTTTTTGGGTAAGAAAAGAAAAGAAGACTGCGGTGTGGGTGGATTGGGATGAGGGGCGCTTGTTTTTCACTCGGCTCCTCCCGTTTTGCCAGTACTGTGGTATTAGTGGTTTAGGAAGAGGGGAGTTCTTCACAAATCCAGCGCTCCCTAACTCGTGCCTGGCTGTGACGTAAATGGTGTGCGGCCGTGAAGCCAGGACAGTAAACAAACATGTCGCCGGTAGTATGGGACTATTTCAAAGTTTCAGAGTTAGATAGTTCGCTTGCTATTTGTATTAACAAATGCAGAAGTTCCACGAGGAGGGAAAAAGGCAACGAGCTATAATACTTCCAACCTGATTAGTCACCTGAAACATCGCCATCGCTACGATGGTGTGTTAAAAGCGTATGAAGACGCCTGCACTGCTAAACTATTGGCGAATCCAAAGCCAGCTGCAAAGGCACCGGGGCTTTTACCTATCGACGAGGCTTTTGGAAAAGGCAAGAGGTTTGCCAGAGACGACCCCAGGGCTAAAACGATCTCTAACTTCATTTTGCTCACTACTAGTCTTTTTAAAAAAAAAAAACTACAGGTACATTTAATATATATATATATATATATTAAATGTACCTGTAGTTTTTTTAAAAATATTTTATATATATATATATATATATATATATATATATTATATTATTATCGGTATCGGTCTTGAGAAGCAGGAAGTTATCGGTGTCGGTTTAAAAAAAACCAATATCGTGCATCCCGATTAACAACCTGTCTCTCTGACAGACGACCTCTGACCTGCAGCCGAGGACCTCCACCTGACGATGAGTGATGTCACAGGGGGGCGGGGCTTAGTTGTTGGTGTTTTTCTTCAGGGTTATCTCTCTGCAGCGCCTCGTGCTGCGTTCAGGAGAAACGGTAATCTTCAGTGTCGGGGAGATGATGTGAACAAAAGGCCGAATTGTAGCCCCCCCAGCAGGGTGTTCTCAGAGGGGGGGGCCGTGACAAAACCTGACCGAAGCGTTCTTCTGATCCCAGCTGATGCTAACCTGATGCTAACATGATGCTAATGCTAGTGATGCTAACATGATGCTAATGTTAATGTGATGCTGATGCTAACGTGATGCTAGCCTCTCCTTTAACCTCTTAAACCCGCCCCCCCCCCGATACCGGGCGGAAAAACACGTCACTGCAGGAGACAGCGTCTGGGGGCTTCTTAATATTTAAAAACCTATGAATGTCTTATACTCAAATAACGGGAAAAAACTCAGCTACCTGACGATATGAGCCATTTTAACCGAAACAAAACACAAGTCTCACAAGAAGCGTTAGCATTAGCCCTTAGTGAAAACAGGCTGATGCTACTTCCGGTGCTAACTAGCAAAAACGATCTTTAAAACTTAATATGTTCTGCACAAACAAAAGGCCGAATTGTAGCCCCCCCAGGTTGTTCTCAGAGGGGGGGGGCCCGTGACAACCTTCCCGACATGTTCGTCTGATCCCAGCTGGTGCTAACGTGATGCTAGTGATGCTAACGTGATGCTGATGTCTCCTGCCGTCACAGCAGTTTAACATGTTGGAGAAAGGCTCTCTATATTTTAAATAATGAGTTGGTATAGTTTAGAAGTTAAGCACCGCTGTAACACGGTTTCCAAAGTACCTGTCGCCCCAAAAGTGCTACGAATTGTAGCCCCCAGGTTATTCTCAGAGGGGGGGGGGGCCGTGACAAAACCTTCCCGACGTGTTCGTCTGATCCCAGCTGGTGCTAACGTGATGCTAACATGTTGCTAATGCTAGCCTCTCCGTAAAGAGCCTTCTCTCATCCTGTTTTGGAGCTTTCAGATATAAAACACGTTGTTCAAACTAATTATTTTTGTTTTGCATTTGAAAAACTGGAATTTGTATATTAAACCAATGTCTGTATCTCCCCTCAGACTCCGCCCCCTGCAGGAGAACTCCCCTCAGACTCCGCCCCCTGCAGGTGAACTTCAATTCAGAAAGACTCAAATATAACAATACAGCTGTGTTTTTGGAGATTACCTGATGTAGTGAGAAATGAATTGAACTTCTGTTAGACAGCTATCATACTGAATACATATTTACTGTGAATTAGGGGTGTAACGGTACACGTACCCGTACCGAAATTATTCGGTACGGGCCCTTCGGTTCGGTACAGGTGTGTACCGAAGTGTACCGAACGAATATAACGTTAAACGTAAAAAATTGAGAACGTGAACAACTTTTTGGAAGTAATCTCAGGTGCTGCGTCGCAGCATTCAGAGTAATTTGGTCACATTGGGTTCATCGCGTCATAGAGCGAGCAAGTCATTTCATTGGATGAGAGGCATACTATGAGAGCTGGTCAGAGGGATGCGTTCACATGTAGTCAGTAATTTGAGGAACTGTCGAAATGGCGAACGCAGATAAAGTTGAGCTGAAAATCCTCCAGCATCATTGAAGTCTCCGGTTTGGGAACATTTTGGTTTCGTAGTTACGTACAAGGATGACAGACAAAGACAGGTGGACCGAACCAAAGCTGTTTGTCGGCATTGTTCAACTAACATTGGTTACGCGGCTGGCAATACATCAAACTTGCACTCATTTGAAAAGGCATCACCGGAACGTGAATATCACCGGTACCAAAAGAAAAAAAGACTGAAGTGCAAACCCAACTCCCACTAGCATGTAAGCCTCCACCACTCGCAGAGAGTTCAGACCGAGACAAAGCTATTACAAACGCCAAATATCCTTATGTTGCCATGTTAGCAAAGCGCTACCTGGCTGTCTGCTACCTCTGTCCCTAGCGAGAGGGTGTTCTCCACCGCAGGACACATTGTTAGTGCCAGCAGATCTGCCCTTTCAGCAAGCAATGTGGACAAGTTCATCTTTCTTTAAACAACATGAAAATACAATGACAAGCAAGTCCTAATGTCAAACTGGCTGCTCAGGTGCTAGTTCAGTACAGTTCAAATACAGATTATTTCAGTTCATCGAAATGCTGCACCTTAATGTTTATTTTATTATATATTTTTTTTAGTGAAGATTCACAGTTTAATAAAAAATAAAAAACCCAAAACTAATAGTTTATGTTTTGTGAGTACTAGTAGCCTACAGTAAAGTTCAAATACAGATTATTTCAGTTCATCGAAATGCTGCACCTTAATGTTTATTTTATTATATTTTGTATTTATTTGAGTGAATACATTATTCACGGTTTAATAATAATACAAAAAAAAAATATATATATATGTTTTATTTTGTGAAAAAAAATTCTGCTGTACCGAACCGTGACCAAAAAACCGAGGTACGTACCGAACCGAAATGTTTGTGAACCGTTACACCCCTACTGTGAATGTATGGCATATAGCTGTCTAACAGAAGTTAAATACATTTCTCACCTATTATATACCCAATAAAAAGAGTTGTTAAATAATAGTGACGTCTCGTTGTAATAAATCATCTCTCGCGTTTTCTTTTTGCCAAAAGCCACTGTCAAGTGTCCTACTTCGGTTGCTGTCCGGAGTTGTCCAATATGGCGGACCATCTCGCACACTGCAGATTGGGCAGAGCTGCAGATCGGGTAGTGACAGCCCCGCCTGTTCCTCACACACCTGTAGACCCCCCCCTGTTCCTCACACACCTGTAGACCCCCCCCCTGTTCCTCACACACCTGTAGACCACCCGCCGTTCCTCACACACCTGTAGGCACACCTATAGCCCCCCACCCTGTTCCTCACACACACACACCTGTAGACCCCCCTGTTCCTCACACACCTGTAGACCCCCCTGTTCCTCACACACCTGTAGACACACCTGTAGACCCCCCTGTTCCTCACACACCTGTAGACACACCTGTAGACCCCCCCCTGTTCCTCACACACCTGTAGACCAACCCCCTGTTCCTCACACACCTGTAGACCACCCGCCGTTCCTCACACACCTGTAGGCACACCTGTTCCTCACAAACCTGTAGACACACCTATAGCCCCCACCCTGTTCCTCACACACACACCTGTAGACCCCCCTGTTCCTCACACACCTGTAGACACACCTGTAGACCCCCCTGTTCCTCACACACCTGTAGACCAACCCCCTGTTCCTCACACACCTGTAGACCCCCTGTTCCTCACACCTGTAGACCCCCCCTGTTCCTCACACCTGTAGACCAACCCCCTGTTCCTCACACCTGTAGACCCCCTGTTCCTCACACCTGTAGACCAACCCCCTGTTCCTCACACACCTGTAGACCCCCTGTTCCTCACACACCTGTAGACCCCCTGTTCCTCACACACCTGTAGACCCCCTGTTCCTCACACCTGTAGACCAACCCCCTGTTCCTCACACCTGTAGACCCCCTGTTCCTCACACCTGTAGACCCCCCCCCCTGTTCCTCACACCTGTAGACCAACCCCCTGTTCCTCACACACCTGTAGACCCCCCCCCTGTTCCTCACACACCTGTAGACCCCCCCCTGTTCCTCACACACCTGTAGACCCCCCCCTGTTCCTCACACACCTGTAGACCCCCCCCTGTTCCTCACACACTTGTAGACCCCCCCCGTTCCTCACACACCTGTAGACCCCCCCCCTGTTCCTCCCCTCAGACTCCGCCCCCTGCAGGTGAACTTCATTTCAGAGACTCAAATATAACAATACAGCTCTGTTTTTGGAGATTACCTGATGTAGTGAACGTTTTCCCCCATTCCTCACAAACCTGTAGACCACCCCCTGTTCCTCACACACCTGTAACCATACCCCTGTTCCTCACACACCTGTAACCATACCCCTGTTCCTCACACACCTGTAACCATACCCCTGTTCCTCACACACCTGTAACCATACCCCTGTTCCTCACACACCTGTAGCCACACCTATATTCCCCCCTGTTCCTCACACACCCTGTAGACCCCCCCTGTTCCTCACACACCTGTAGACCCCCCCTGTTCCTCACACACCTGTAGACCCCCCCTGTTCCTCACACACCTGTAGACACACCTGTAGCCCCCCTGTTCCTCACACACCTGTAGACCCCCCCTGTTCCTCACACACCTGTAGACCCCCCCTGTTCCTCACACACCTGTAGACCACCCCCTGTTCCTCACAAACCTGTAGACACACCTGTAGCCCCCCACCCTGTTCCTCACACACACACCTGTAGACCCCCCTGTTCCTCACACACCTGTAGACACACCTGTAGACCCCCCTGTTTCCTCACACACCTGTAGACACACACACCTGTAGACCCCCCCTGTTCCTCACACACCTGTAGACCCCCTGTTCCTCACACCTGTAGACCAACCCCCTGTTCCTCACACCTGTAGACCCCCTGTTCCTCACACCTGTAGACCCCCCCCTGTTCCTCACACCTGTAGACCAACCCCCTGTTCCTCACACACCTGTAGACCCCCCCCTGTTCCTCACACACCTGTAGACCCCCCCCTGTTCCTCACACACCTGTAGACCCCCCCTGTTCCTCACACACCTGTAGACCCCCCCCTGTTCCTCACACACTTGTAGACCCCCCCCGTTCCTCACACACCTGTAGACCCCCCCCCCTGTTCCTCCCCTCAGACTCCGCCCCCTGCAGGTGAACTTCATTTCAGAGACTCAAATATAACAATACAGCTCTGTTTTTGGAGATTACCTGATGTAGTGAACGTTTTCCCCCCATTCCTCACAAACCTGTAGACCACCCCCTGTTCCTCACACACCTGTAACCATACCCCTGTTCCTCACACACCTGTAGGCACACCTGTTCCTCACACACCTGTAGACCACCCCCCTGTTCCTCACACACCTGTAACCATACCCCTGTTCCTCACACACCTGTAACCATACCCCTGTTCCTCACACACCTGTAGCCACACCTATATTCCCCCCCTGTTCCTCACACACCTGTAGACACACCTATAGCTCCCCTGTTCCTCACACACCTGTAGACCCCCCCTGTTCCTCACACACCTGTAGACCACCCCCTGTTCCTCACACACCTGTAGACACACCTATAGCCCCCCCTGTTCCTCACACACCTGTAGACACACCTATAGCTCCCCCAAGCTGTTCCTCACACACACACCTGTAGACCCCCCCTGTTCCTCACACACCTGTAGACCCCCCCTGTTCCTCACACACCTGTAGACACACCTGTAGACCCCCCTGTTCCTCACACACCTGTAGACCCCCCCCTGTTCCTCACACACCTGTAGACCCCCCCCTGTTCCTCACACACCTGTAGACACACCTGTAGACCCCCCTGTTCCTCACACACCTGTAGACACACCTGTAGCTCCCCAAGCTGTCCTCACACACACACCTGTAGACCCCCCCCTGTTCCTCAACACACACACCTGTAGACCCCCCCCTGTTCCTCACACACACACCTGTAGACCCCCCCTGTTCCTCACACACCTGTAGACCCCCCCCTGTTCCTCACACACCTGTAGACCCCCCCTGTTCCTCACACACCTGTAGACACACCTATAGCCCCCCCACCCTGTTCCCCACACACACACACACACACCTGTAGACCCCCCCTGTTCCTCACACACCTGTAGACACACCTATAGCCCCCCCACCCTGTTCCCCACACACACACACACACACACCTGTAGACCCCCCCTGTTCCTCACACACCTGTAGACCCCCCCCCGTTCCTCACACACCTGTAGCCACACCTATATTCCCCCCTGTTCCTCACACACCTGTAGACACACCTGTAGCCCCCCTGTTCCTCACACACCTGTAGACCCCCCCTGTTCCTCACACACCTGTAGACACACCTGTAGCCCCCCTGTTCCTCACACACCTGTAGACCCCCCCCTGTTCCTCACACACCTGTAGACCACCCCCTGTTCCTCACACACCTGTAGACACACCTATAGCCCCCCCTGTTCCTCACACACCTGTAGACACACCTATAGCTCCCCCAAGCTGTTCCTCACACACACACCTGTAGACCCCCCCTGTTCCTCACACACCTGTAGACCCCCCCCCTGTTCCTCACACACACCTGTAGACCCCCCCCTGTTCCTCACACACCTGTAGACCCCCCCTGTTCCTCACACACCTGTAGACACACCTGTAGACCCCCCTGTTCCTCACACACCTGTAGACCCCCCCTGTTCCTCACACACCTGTAGACACACCTATAGCTCCCCCAAGCTGTTCCTCACACACACACCTGTAGACCCCCCCTGTTCCTCACACACCTGTAGACCCCCCCTGTTCCTCACACACCTGTAGACACACCTATAGCCCCCCCACCCTGTTCCCCACACACACACACACACACCTGTAGACCCCCCCTGTTCCTCACACACCTGTAGACACACCTATAGCCCCCCCACCCTGTTCCCCACACACACACACACACACACCTGTAGACCCCCCCTGTTCCTCACACACCTGTAGACCACCCCCTGTTCCTCACACACCTGTAGACCACCCCCTGTTCCTCACACACCTGTAGACACACCTATAGCCCCCCCCTGTTCCTCACACACCTATAGCCCCCCCTGTTCCTCACACACCTATAGCCCCCCCTGTTCCTCACACACCTATAGCCCCCCCTGTTCCTCACACACCTGTAGACCCCCCCTGTTCCTCACACATGTACGGTTTCTCTGTGAATACGTTGGTCTGTAAATAGCGTTGTGAGCTTTGCGCTGACCCTCGTTGTGTCATATTTGTATGTCCTGTTTTAATGTCTTGTTGAAACATCAATAAAGTTTAATTTATGTTAAAAGACTTGAACCCTGTTTTTAATTACATTCAAGGTATTAAATGTTGTAGCTTGTTTTCAATAAGTCTATAAATGGTCCAAAGAGGTTGTATTCCATAGTCTGCCTGAATGTAGTCATGGCGTAGGTGTGTAGTGTGATTCTGTGTAGTTTATTGATGGCATCCCGTTGGGTTTGACGTCATCTGAACAGGACATCGCGCGCTCACTGCTTGATAGCGCGGAGGTCCGTTTACGCCGGTTGTTAAACATCGTTATGGGGAAATGCAAGTCTGCGTCCAAATGGTTGGAAGATAAGGAGGAAGGACAATCAATACTGTATATAGTCAATGTGAGATAAAGTGTGTCGCCAAGGTAACCGGTTAAAACTCAAAGTGGTGATGAGGTCTTAAAATGTATGGAAAGGGTCTTAAAATGTATTACATGTGACTTCAGGACTCCTGCGTATACCCTGTGTTATGTTCATTACATTTAGCTGAGGCTTTTATCCAAAGCGACTTAGAATAAGTGCGTTCGACCAACAAGATACAACCTTGAAGAAAACAGAATCATATAAGTACATCAGGTTTCATAGAGCCAAACATTTCAAGTGCTACTCAACTGGCTTTAGGTAAGCCAGTCCTTTATTAGTATAAAAGTGCTTTGTTAATAGTTCTAACGCTCGAAGTGGAGTCGAAAGAGATGAGTTTTCAGTCTGCGCCGGAGCTCATTCCACCATCTTGGAGCCAGGACAGCAAACCCACGTGTTTCTGCTGATGGGAACTTGGGTCCCCTTCGTAGCGAGGGTGCAGCGAGCTGTTTGGCTGATGCAGAGCGGAGTGCATGGGCGTAATTTCCACTGGGGACAGGAGGGACATGTCCCTCCCCACTTTTTAAATGTTATTTTTTTTGTTACGCAAGCGGTCATCGTCACGGAGGAGCGTCTGTTTGTGTGTGTGGCACGATCGCATCGAGACGGGGGTTGTTGTTAGCATCTGGTGCTAGCTCGGAGCTAACGGATTGGAAGCTGTTTCAACAATTAGGAGAGGGAGAGCTCTCTCCTGAGGGACTGAGATAACGTCAGCTCAGGGAGCTAAAGGACTGAGTGATTAGGTTGTAAACTTGAGTCAAGTGATCTCAGTGGCTCTCAAACGGTTTGGTCATCTATGTAAACAAATATCTCCATCTATGGAATATTAGTTGTATATAAAATAAGTTACGAAATCCTTCCAATGTGTACTATAGGTCAGTACAAACATGAAACGCAGTT